ATGGGGAAAAAAAAAGAAAGAACCAAGAACATTAAAACAAGGCGAAAACAATCATCTAGTGTTCAAACTCCAAGTCCAAAAAAAAAAAAAAAACGAGTAAAAAGACAACTACGTAAAGTGCTCAATACACTAAGAAGAGCAAGACAAGATAATCCTAAGGAGCCAGGCAAACCTACCTAGATTTCACCCAAACGGATCTTCAGGGTACGACCTATATATATTTACTGGCTGTTAAATAGGACCGACTAACCCTGAGCGAAATTCTGAAGTTGCTCAACAGATAAGTCGCTTGAATATATAATTCCGATTTAATGTCATAAGTTTAATATCCGGATTTAATTTTATAAAACCGCTTCCCTTTAAGGCTAATACCTTCCAGCCTCCTCTAACCACCGTTTCCGGCATTTCGTCTGACTGAAACATCAAAATGGATAAATTCTGTATCAAGTTTTCGACTACTGTCAAAGTTAAATTTCTAATTCCGATGCGAACACAGTCTATACACCGGGGTTTGTGTGTGTGTGTGTGTGTGTGTGTGTGTGTGTGTGTGTGTGTGTGTGTGTGTGTTATCGTAGGCGACTAAACTGGTACTCCAATTTCTTGCGAGTCAGGCGGGTTGTAAGGAACCCTGTAGGGTGAAAAATAAAACCTATCAAACTGCCGATGAACTCTTGACGAGACAACGGTCAGCGATGGTGTCTCAATGAGATCACTGTGAAGTAAGTAACGGGACGCCACTTCTCTATCAATCACAATAAAATTCATGACTTGTTGAAAAATACCTTTTTCTTCTGGATATTCTCGCATCCGAAATAGAACGGACCTGGTCGTTTATTTAGATTTATTCTTTTCCAATCTACTTACTGTTATTCTAGACACATCGTTTATTTTATTTTCCATTTTTTTTCCTAATCTGTCTATTTATTTCACCCTGTTTGATTATAACCCCCCCCCCACACACACACACACATTACATCCATTTTTGTTCTGGAAATAAATTAATTTTTAATAAATTTTCCAACCTACCTATTTATTCCAACCTCCCTGTCGATACCGGATGTGCGAATATTCACTAAACATAGTTTTGCCGGGCATAGTGTCATGCATCGATGGAGGGAGATTGTGTTCCGCCGATCTCTCAAGTTAGGGTGCTTAATTAGTTGTTTGACTTGAAAATGAACATTCAAAATTCTGGGTTTTAACTAGTTTCGAACTCCAACCGCCAGTGTTAATCGAAGCAATACTCTGAAATTGGGAATTCTTATTTGGGGAGTGTAAAATATTAAAACAGAATACCAATTAATTGACACAGGATTAAACAAATTAAAGAACGGTGGCTCATATCCAACGCGATGTTATACGATACAAGCCAAGAGCCAATGGGAAGTACGCTACTATCTCAGCCACTAGGCAAACACAATCAGCTTACATGCAATTTCTTTTTTTAATGGGGAATAGCATTTTCTCTTGTAAGTAATTTGTACCGCACTAGAATATTAAAGCCGTGGTAGTTATCCAAATTGCTTGCCTACGCCCAAGAAGCAACAGTACGTAGCCGAATGCGAAATTATTGTATTTGAACAATCCGGTTTGTTGTAAAAATACCGCTCCTCCTTATTTCCACCAAACAAGGTCGGTCAATTCAGTTTAATCCCATTAACTTAGAGCATGATTAGGGTCCATTAGGGTTTGATGTTCTCTTTCTCGTGACGAGTTAGTAACAATCATTATTACTCGATCTTCTTCTTCTGAAGTGCCGCGTTCATTCAGGACATAGGCGATCATGGCTCTCCACAAATTCCTATCCCTTGTGACTCTTAGCAGTTTTTCTGCCTTTCCCTAATTCTAAATCCCACTTCCATTCCGCCATCTATTCACACAAACTGTTACGTAAGTAGCTCGTTGCAATCCCCTACCCTCTCTTGCCCTTAATATACCACGTGAGGGTTAAGTTTTCCAAGCCCTCTGTCCTCATTATATGTCAAAGGAATTTTAGCTGTCTTTTTTTTTTCTGGTTCTGACTATAAGTGTTCTTTCTGTTGTCATTTTCTTTAACACTTACTTATTGCTTACTCCTCTGTCCATAGAATGCTCAGTATCCTTCTGTAGAACCACATTTCTGCAGTTTCCAGTTTTCTCCTTACCCGTGGGGAGATTGGCCAGCATTCAATGCCATATAAGAGGATGGATAACGCATCTTCTTTTTTTTTTATTTCTAAGAAAAAAAAATCCCTTTCTCAGCACCTCGCTTAACTTTTTGGGAATGCGCGTTTGGATCTCGGTGTAACATTTTCCATCATCCATTAAAACACTTTCTCATTTGTCTAAAATTCTTCACCTGCTTGATGCTAACATCTCCAATTTGACCCAGTCTCGTGATGAAGCTAGTTTGAAACAAATTGCTCGCCCATGGTTGAAATTCTAAAGTTTAACGTTCATTGACTCACACGTTTGAAATATTTCCACGTTCTCCTGGCGGCTGAAGAAAGTGAAACCTTTTTTTTTTATTATTATTACAAATTGTAAAATGATTTTTATTTTTATTAGTATGTATTTCTTTAAACAGGTGTCCTTATAAATATACTCATTTTGGACAAACCCAAAAGTAGTAAAGGAAGACAGGAAGTCCTGTAGGTCATAGAATATAGCCAACCTCTACCCTCCCTACGTACCTTAGAAATATCTTTTTTTTTTTTTTTAATAAAGCCAGGGTCAGGTATCCAGCCTCGCCCTCAAGCTAGTTTGAAATGAATCGTTCGTCCATGATTGAAATCAGGACCGACACATACTACTCCCAAACTCCCCGATCTGATTGCAGGTCCCGGACAATGCTTTGTGACTCTCGCTATCTTATCATCATTTGCTTTTTTTTCTACCTACGTTTATACACGTTAAAAATTAAACTAAGCACAACTGACTATTAAAGGATGAAAAAATTTCGCGGATTTTAATAAAATTTTGAAGTCTTTTTTTCGGCCAAATCTATGAATTTGATTTGCTCATGCTAACTCTAAAAACACTATATAAAATTCATTACTTTTTATTCCTAATGTTGAATGTATTAAAATTATTCAACTTTTTAACTATAAAAATCTCAAGTTTATGTTAAAAATTACCTCAAAACATTGTTGATTTATTTAAGATGGAATAATATATTATGACATGTCTCTAATTTGTATTTAGATACATTGTATTTATTTTCAATTTTTCAACTATATATATATATATATATAGTTTTAAGGTATGCTATATTTATGGGATAAAGTGCTCATTATCAGAGATAGAGCGTATGTAAATATAAAAGTTGATGTTGTAGTCGACACTTTATATATATATATATATATATATATATATATATATATATATATATATATATATATACGATGATTAAGAAATTCATCGAGTCTAGAATATATATATATATATATATATATATATATATATAGATAGATAGATAGATAGATAGATAGATAATATTAGTGGTTAATATACACATTCATATATATATATATATATATATATATATATATATATATAAATTTCCAAGAGGATAGAATTCAGGTAGAACTCAATGTCCAGGACAGAGTAAGAATATAATAAAAAGACTTAAACACTAATATTCCATGGTTATAATTTATTACATTGGATTTGTAATTACGATCCAATTCATCAGCCCTCCAAATTCAAAAAGAAATCGGAAAAAATAACTCCGGGAATAAAAAATAAAATTTAGTAAGAGTGTATGTACGAGAGTGGGTGATATATAATGTTTTTTGATTGTATTAGATATATATATATATATATATATATATGTGTGTGTGTGTGTGTGTGTGTGTGTGTGTGTGTGTGTGTGTGTGTGTGTGTGCATGATGGGCATGTTCTTTAGCAGATAACTAGTTATAAACAGAATTTTGATCATCAGAAATATTCATTGAATAATGTTAAATCACTTTTGATAATATTTACTACTGAAATTACAGCCATATCACGTTCAAACACTGATTCTTGCCCAATAACCGAAGTTAAGCAACGTCGAGTCTGGGTGACCTCTTCGGAATACTATGGTGCTTTAAGCTTGAATGTATAGGTTGTGTAATCAATAACGACTTGGAATGAGAAATCGGAGTTCGACTTCCAGTGTGTTTCGTTATATTCACTCACGCATAAATACCTTTAGGAAAAATATGAATGCCCTAAATAATAAGACTTCTAACGGAAAATCATTATTATCTACCAAAAGACATTACAATCTAAAAATATTTTCGGGTTTTAAATATTCCGCAAAAGGTTGATAAACCGTAAAATTAAATTAAATCAATAAAAAAAAAACTATTGCATTTAGTGCATTACCAAAGAAGGGAATTATTTTGAAAAGAAATGTTTCTTGTTTAAAGATAATGCTTTTTCGTCATTATCACTTGGTTTCGTCATTATCACTTGGTTGTGAAATTAGTGATATACATAGATATAAATAAAATCACATATTACGATGCTATGAACTTCTTCTATGTGCTGTGTTTCTTCAGAACTTGAGCAATCGTGTCCATTGTAGACCTTACTAAAGTTTGTCTGTTTGCTATCTCTACTAATCGCTGTTCTACCAACACAAGCTCGCTAGGTATGTTATTCTCTGCTTTCCCTCATGCCTTCAATATGTCCTGTGAGTGTCATATTTTCTAAGCTCACTTTCCTCATTATGTGTCCTAGAAAGTTCAACTGTCTCTTTTTGATGCTACGCATGCTACTTTTTGTTCCATTTTCCTTAAAACTTAATCATTGCTCACGTGTTCAGTCCATAGCATTCTCAGCATCCTTCTGTAGAATCACATTTCTGTTGCCTCAAGTTTCTTCTCCATTTCTAAGAGAAGGATACATATATATAAACACTCTATCTGCAATTCTGAGCACTCTTCTCATATACACTGAATTTTAAGCAACCCAGACACGCACACGCACACGCACACACACACATACAATTACACACACACACACACACACACATAGATAGATAGATAGATAGATAGATAGATAGATAGATATAACGGGGTGGTAGCACCTGTTAGGGTCCCAGCTATGGGCAAATAGTTAACTATTACCAGGAATACTTTTTTGAAAAAAAATTATTACCACCAATACAATTTTGACAAAACAAAATATTACCAGCAATAAAATTTTTGTCAGCATTAAATAACCCATTAAAGTTGACGAAATAAATATAAATATATATATATATATATATATATATATATATATATATATATATATATATAAAAAAGAAATATGTTGTAGTGGTTCCAACGAGAGAGAAAAGTATGTATATTAAAAAGAAGAGAAGAGAGGTGCCGCAAACGTTTTTGGTTGTAATGTGGATTTATTTAGAAAAATATTATGCTTTGTTTTATATAATTTTACTACGACACGTGTTTTGGTCTCGCGACCGTCTTCAGGTAAAAGTGGAGATTTCTACATATTATAAAAATAATATTATTAAAAAATAATTAATTTTTCTTCATGTTCAATGTGAGATATTCTCGATATGAGACATTCTCTGTTTGTGTGTTGGTAATCCGAATTTCTTTCTAGAATTGTCAATGAAGAGTTCTGCGCGAAGGGTCATAAAACAATTAAGGTTGGTCCAGCGAGTAGTTATCGGCATTTTATCTTTTAATGTTTTAGTGACCCCTATGTGCTCTTGGATCTGTTTCTATTTTGGTGTGTTCCTGTCAGCATGCGTGTATATATGCGTGCGTATATTTCCCCTCCATACATACTGTCTTACTACGAGGAATTCGTAAACTTATTTGTACCTATACACGCATACACACACATACGCACATACACACTATCCCACCACAAGTAATCAGTACACACACACATATACACACATATTTCCCAAGCTACATGGAACCAGTACACATTCACTAAAGAATTCATTATCGATAGTATAGACCTAATTCTAAACAATAACACCTTTGAATTTGACAACAAAAACTATATCCAAACCCTAGGTACTGCGATGGGAACAAAAATGGCACCAACATATGCCACCCTAACATTAGCTTACCTAGAAGAAAACCTCTATGAAAAGATAGAACAAATATACGGGGCAAATATAAAGAAAAGATACCTAGATGATTGCTTCATCTTTTGGAAATCATCATGGGGTGATATTAACCAATTCCATACACTACTTCAAAACTTACACCCAAAAATCAAATTCACGCAGGAATATAATTTTAACGAATTACCATTTTTAGATATACTCATTAGAAATAAAAACAACCACATAATCACAGATATCTACCACAAACCCACAGACACCCAACAATACCTTCATTTCAGGAGCCATCACCCAAAAAGCTGCCTAAAATCCATCCCCTATTCCCTAGCACGTAGAATTTGTACAATAGTGACTGATAAACATCTCCGAAAAATCCACTTAGAAGAACTACATAAAACTCTAAAGAAACGAGGCTACCCCACAACACTAATAAACAAAGGTATTGAACTCGCGAAAGAAATTCCTCTAGACCAACTTAGAAATAAAAGAAACGTAACGTCGAACAAACTCTAGCATATGTCTCAACGCACAACAAAAAATAATCCAGAAATATTCCCAGAAATCACAAAAAATCTAGATTTACTTAGCAAGAATAATAAACTGAATAATATACTAAAAACAACCAAAAATAATTAAGAGCAAACGCCAATCTAGAAACCTAAAACACATATTAACCTCATCTAAATTTAGCCAACACAAAATACAGGAGTCACAAAATGCAACAAAAAAGATGTGGGGTTTGTGACATCATTATAGAAGGAAACTCCTACACTTTTGAAAACCCAAAAAAACATTCACAATAAATAAAAAACTTAAACTGCAACTCCAAAAATGTAATTTATGCACTTAAATGCACAAAATGTAAGAAGTCATATATAGGCATCAGCCAACAACTGAACAACAGGGTCTCCCTACACAAAAGCAATATAAAATTGACAGACAACAGAAAACTTTTTGTATCACAACACATTTTCAAATGTAACCAGGGTAAGTTTAATATCATGCCGATATATCAAACAGACAATTACTCGTATCTACAAATACAGGAAAAAAATTTTATAGACAAATTCAAACCCGAACTAAATAGATCGTAACCCCACACACAAAAAACACACAACATGCACACAGGGTGACCAAATACAATGATCAAATCGCTCACATACATGGACGCACACTCATATACGGGAGACACGAGGAGATATATATATATATGTATGTACACATACATACATACATTTATGTATGTATATGCGGATGTTGACAACTTAAGAAGTACGTGTGTGTGCGTGTATGTGTGTGTGCGTGTATGTGTGTGTACTGGTTCCATGTAGCTTGGGAAATATGTGTGTATATGTGTGTGTGTACTGATTACTTGTGGTGGGATAGTGTGTATATGCGTATGTGTGTGTATGTGTATAGGTACAAATAAGTTTACGAAT